TATTCGGCACTTTTACCCTAGAAAACGTTTCCGAATTCCTTTAAAGAAATGGAAAAACCAGACAACTCAGTAAATCAATCTGAATCTTCAGAGTCTTGTGTTCTTGATAAATCAGATTATGATGTAAATATTATTAATTAATTTAGAAATTGCTTAATTGAAATCTTATTCTAGATAATCTATATATTCTAGATATTCTATAAGTATATATTTTATTTATTTTGTTATATTTTAGAATTTGGAATCATTAGATTCAGGACTTCTAAATGAAGTGACTAATACAAACAGGCAGAACCAAGCTGATGAGCAAACAAATAGTTCAACATCTAAAAAGAAAAAGCTTATTAATATAAACCTGTTAACTGAAAAAAGAATTGATACTTTTAGTGCCTCAAATGAATTAATGAATTTAGTAAGTATTGGATCTTTATTTTCAGCTTTATTATTTACTTAATTAAGATATATCACCTTTAAGCATTCGTTATTGTATCTGCCTATATTATAAAAAAGATAAAGATATAGAGTTGATTATTTTTCTTTTTATACATTTTTGCGATGTTACCTAAAACTAATTAGTATTATCTAACAATCTCTTGTATTGCTTTTGCCACATTTTTATCTCAATAACATCCAAAGTTAAATTTGTGATTACTAAAGCTTTACATAAAAATTGTAGGCTTCTTGTTTAATTGCTACTCTTGTTGGATATTTGAAGCTATGTTATTGCTGGTTTCAGGATTTAAAAGAGCTTCTCAGACAGAGTTTAGATGGTAAGGCTATTCTTCACAGTTACGAAATAAATAAATATTTGGAAGAAGAGGATCGAACAGCTCTTGTAGACATTATTATTAAGTGGTTGCTTTTCCGTATTACTCAGTAAGTTTTTTATTATTATAATATAGTAGACAGAGTTATAATATAATAGACATAGTTTTAATAAATATATTTCTCTCTTATTTATTTATACTAGTAACACTGATTAAATTAGTGCTTATAGTTTTTCTGATTGCAATATTAGCAAAATTTTATTTCTTTGTTGAACGACTTAAAAGACTTTACTTAAACTAATATTTCCCTTTAATTTATTTCATTGTAATTACAGACCTAAAAAACCCGAGCTAACTATATTAAAAGACAAGATTTTAACATTGTTTACAAATGAAGTATAGTGTTCACTTATTTCTCATCTACATATATTAATCTTTCATATAAGTCTTTCATAATCCATGTTATTTTATTATTAGTTTATTAATATCACAGAATGTCTACTATATCGCTCCAAAAGAAGAGGGAGACAATCAATGTCTTGCAAGAGGAAAGTTGTTCGATAGAACCAAAAATTTAAAAGAATGGATGAGAAAGAAACATCTTCTTCCTCGAGTTCAGACATCTAAAAAGAATATTCTTGATGTATCTGCCACATCAAAAGGTTTGCTATTCGTTTTATATTTTACATATTTAATCTTATGTTTATCTTTATGTTAATTATTATGAAATTAATTATTACGGTTTGTACTTTTTATAAAATTTTTAAATAGTGTTGTTTAGATTAGTGACTGTTAAAGCAGGTTTATATTGTAGTAAATCATATTCATTTGTAAATAATTAAGACAGAGTTGAACATCTGAGTTGAACACCATCAAATTTATTAGATAATGTTTTCGGATTTAATAATTATTATTGGTACTTATTTATCTCCGACAAATAAGCTACAACTTTTATCCAATTACTTATAAATAATTGTCAGAATCAAGCTTATTTGTCAGAGATAAAATGTACGTTGGCTTTCTGAGGTTTCTATTAGTTTTTAAACTGTTTCTATTAATTTAATAACTGTATCTGTAATGTACTTATTTAGTTTATCTGTTAGTTTTATAATACATTGTCATTTCTTATGTGCAGCTGTTCAAATTGAACCTACAAATTATGTCAAAATAGCTTTAAATTGGCTAAAAAGTTTTCATGAACCGTGGCATAAAGTAGAAGAAAAATGGGCTATAACATCAAAGTATAGACGAGATGTTTTGTTAGCTTCAAGATCTGAAATTAAACAACAACGTGCGGAACATACTAAAGCTGCAGCTTATTTGGATCAGTATAAAGTTCTCCGCCTTAGTCAGGGTTATAAATTGGTAAGAAATTTGTCAACAGTTTTAATTTTGTAAACTGTAATGTTTCGCTATATCTTAAATACCTGCGTAGACAAATTTTTTACACTAGTATTGTTATATTTTGTTTTCCAGATTGAAATAGACTTTACAATGTCTTGTCAATCCGATTTAGAGGATGCATTGGTCAAAAATTGGCATTCATTTATTCGGAAAATTGAGATCCTTTTGAAGAATAGTGTTGAATTGGTAAAAGATCCTGAAGAAAAAATGTTGCGACAACTTTACTTCGAAACCACTAACAAAGGTAAAATTTTTCTATTGTCAAAAAGATATTATATCTTTATATAAAGAGTATACAGGGTGCTACGCAACATATTGACTTCCGGTCATGGGAAGGTAGAGGGGACTAAGACAAACAGAAAAGTATTGTACTATTTTGCGCTTGGACGAATAGTTATCGAGATACGAAATTTTAAAAATCGCCGTATTAGCCCAACCTACTGGCGAATGTAAGCGCGCGGTGAGATGCGTCGGCCTAGCTGCCCCGCTCGAGGCGGTGTGCGGCGAGGAATAGAATGGCGGTGCGGGGCGAGGAGTAAGAAGGCGAGGCGCGCCGCTGCCCGTCCGCCGCTTACGCGACCGCTCGCACGTCTCCCCGCGCGGGGCCACTATGCCGACGCATCTCACCGCGCGCTTA